TAGAACCCTAAGATTGAACCTATCCTCTCATGGCTCAATCTCAAGGACTCAGATCACGATCCTGCACAATTCAATCACCAAACACAGTAAAAACAAGCCACAATCAATCGTATTTCACACAATCCTAATCCGAGAGCCTATGGTCACGCACTCACCTTTGCAAACGGATTGAAACGAGGAAACAAGGCACTCCCGACACGACCCGAACAAAAGGGAATAACTCGCGACTCCCTTTACCAAATCAAGGTCTAAAACCTGATCTGGAAACTAGACACCAAGAGCTTCGCAACGGTGTATAGAACGTCTCCTAACTCCAAACAGATCGACGGGAAAACAGCCCGCAATCTCGCTAATCGAAACTGGAAAAACAGAGATTTCAGAAACAACACCCTGAAATCAAACAAACACAGAGAATGGAGATTACCTCCAAATCAGGATCTGAAACCTAATAAACAAACTAGACAGAGAGAGATTTCCAACGGCATAAGGATCATCTCCTGATTCTCTCTGGTTCGACGGGAATCCTCCCTCGAAGTGGACTGATCGCAGACTCGAGACTGCAGAAACCTCACACAATCCAACGGCCATAACTCAGCGAATACTCATCCAAAAGGCACGCGGTAATCAAGAGCAAAGATAGGAGAACTTACGGTCAAAGTTTCACTCTGATCCGATCCGATCTTCCCCGCCAATCATCTCCTCCAAAAACCCGAACAGAACTGTTTCTCTCTCAAGAAAATACTTCTCTCACAAAACTCTCTAAAACTCTTTATCTGATCAAATTTTCGGCCAACCCCAAGAGAAAACGCTTTTCTCTGCTTAAATACGGAACCCTAGGTTCCCTAAACCAACCCAAACCAAACCCGATCAGAAATCAAAACCACACGGTCCAATTTAAGCATGTGTCGCTTGACACAAACCTCTTGTGTCGCGTGACACAGCTCCAGCAACAGATTTCTTCGCGAATTAAACACACGTGTCAATCGACACACAACCAAAAATCACATTTTTGGTTCACGGGCGTTACAGCCCAGCTTGGGCGGCGGCCCTACCCAGGATTTTCTTCAAACCTTCAGCGGCTGCTCCCTCAATCAGCCAGCAGACTCGCTAGCGAGCCGCCCATACGGGGACTTCGAGCTCCGTCCAAACCTTGGGGCTGCGGGTCAAAAGGCCGGCTTCAGTGGTGATCCCTCCTGCCGCTGATGATGCTGGCTCCTCTTCAACCACCCCATCGGGAGAGCGTTTGAAGAGGAGGAGGAGGGTACCAGCCGAGGAGAGGGCCGCGCCTCCCAACCCTAGCGGCGGCGACGATTCTGCGACTTCAGCCAGAAGATCGCTGATAATTCTTGTCGATCCGGTGAGAATTTCTTTTGAGGAGACGAGCTCCTCTATGGATGGTGGCAGCGCTTTGCCCGGGGGCTCATGATCCTCGGGAAGCGTCCGAAAAGTTCCTCCGCCAATTCTCCTAGTCGCGGCTCTCCTGCTCTGGCCGAACCTACGGTTCCCCTACTATTCCTAACTTATAAGGAATCGGCTCTTTTAGCCAGGAGCCCTTCTCGTGAATCTCTCCGCCCCAAGGGATCATATCATTCCCCAGGAGAGGTTGCGGGGACTTACGCAGCATGTGACGCTAGGGGAAGGAGGGCTCCAGGGGAGCCTGAGCAGGTTCCTGAGCAGCCTGAGCTGTCTTCTCCTCTTCCCCCGCAAGAGTCTGGTCTCGCATTCTACGAGAGATGGCTCGGGATGACCCAATCCTGGGATTCGCTCTGAACTTCCCACCGTTTATCCTAGTTTTTTTTTTTGCTTATAGACTGCTAAGGCCATGAATGCCCTAGTTTCTGACGCCGAGCTGCGCTTCCGGCTCGCCTCATTGCTGGCAGAAGTGGATGATCTGTGGGCCCAGCTAGAGAGGGCGAACGAACGCTTGGGACGCATAGAGAGGCACAAGCTGGAGTACAAGCAGAGGGTTCAGCGCCATACTGAAGTGGGCAGGAGGGCATAGTTCAACTTCATGATGATCCTAGTGGCGGCCAATGACCTAATTAACTTCCTCAAACGGGAGGTGTGTAGGGTGGCTGCATCAAAGGAAGAGGCTGTGGCTGTCGCGGTGAGGGGGGCGCGTATGGAGATGGCTGCAAAGTATGGGGAGGTGCTAGAGGGCGTAAAGGAGAAGTTCAGGAGAAAGGAGGCAGAGATCACGGCAGAGATTCACCTGCAGGAGCGAATTTCGAACTTCCAGCTCCTAGAGGATCTCTCCGCGGGCAAGACTACCATTTCAAGGGAAATGGAGAGACTCACTGCGGAACACCCGGCTGCAGAGCAAGCCTCAATGGATGCGGCCGTTTCCAATTTCTCGATTGGAGCGTTGGACCTACCCGAGGTCTTCGCAGAGTCCGTCAACCGTGATGACATGGCCATCCAGAGCTGCCCCCCCCTGCCCGCCCCTCTGATCCTTTCTCCTATTTTTTTAAATTATATTTATTACTTTTTTTTGCTGATTGCCCATAGGGGCCTGAAACTTTGTTTCTGCCCTCCTTCGGGCTTTTAAACTCCTAACTTTTATGTTACTCGGCCCGTTGGGCCTTTTGAATGATATTTCGGTTCTAACTTAGGCGTTTTCGAAACCTTTCTATCTTTTAGCCCTGCTTGGGCTGCCTCGAACAGATCAGCCCGGCTGACCTATTTGGCTTGGCTTATTTTCTAGCAATGTGAGAGCCGAAGTGGCGTTCTCGCCATGACTTTGGCTTCTTCCAGCTTTGAATGTCTTTCTTGCAATTGTTTCTTCTCATACATGTTTCGGTCCATCTCGTTTCTGAGCTGGGTTTCTCTGAGTTCTTTGAACTAAGTGAAAATTTAGAGTCTAATCCTTTGTTGGCATGTACGATCGCGCGAGGTGACTTTCAGCGTTTGTTACCTGCTCCTTGTGGCGATGTTACTAATGTTGGTCGGCCGACTCTTATCGTAATGAAGATGGGCTTGGTGTTCAAGTCCGTGTGTGTGATCGAATTGAGATCGACTTCGATTGTAACGATGGGTTTATGCCTAGGGATATCTTAGTTAGAGACTGGTTAGGCCTCTGCGAGTTCGGATTTTAACCGAACTGACCGTGTGATATGGATCTTTGGCTAATTTGGGCTCTCTGCCTTTTAATATTTCAAAGATGTAAGTAGCGTATTACCCTTCTCCATCTGGTTGAGCTCGGCATCTCTTCCGAGGTAGGTAAGACGGAGAGTTTTGTTGGGT